AAAAAAAAAAAAAAAAGAGGGATGCAACACGAGGACTTCCCGGGAGGTCACCCATCCTAGTACTACTCTCGCCCAAGCACGCTTAACTGCGGAGTTCTGATGGGATCCGGTGCATTAGTGCTGGTATGATCGCATCCGTTAGTATATGCAATGCAATCGTATATATTCTTTTTTTAAGTCTTGATGAACCGTTCGCCGTGGGTCCCACCCGCCATGTAGGGATACCCCATCTAGTCTTAACGAGCTTTGATGCATGAAAAATATTCGAAAACAATGCTTGAAAAAGTAATTTTGGGTCCGTAATATAGCACAAATCACGAAAATGCCCGAAAAAGTACTTAAAGGTCAAAATTTGGAGTCGACAAAAAGTCAATGGAAAAGTTCCATTGTCTTGCTTCTTTCGTCGGAGGGCTCTCTTTGGGCTTTCCGAAAAGGTATCACATGCCAAGTTTGGCCTCACGGTATAGAAGTTATAGAGTCATAAAGTTTTAACCAAAAAAAAAAAAAAAAAAAAGAGGGATGCAACACGAGGACTTCCCGGGAGGTCACCCATCCTAGTACTACTCTCGCCCAAGCACGCTTAACTGCGGAGTTCTGATGGGATCCGGTGCATTAGTGCTGGTATGATCGCATCCGTTAGTATATGCAATGCAATCGTATATATTCTTTTTTAAGTCTTGATGAACCGTTCGCCGTGGGTCCCACCCGCCATGTAGGGATACCCCATCTAGTCTTAACGAGCTTTGATGCATGAAAAATATTCGAAAACAATGCTTGAAAAAGTAATTTTGGGTCCGTAATATAGCACAAATCACGAAAATGCCCGAAAAAGTACTTAAAGGTCAAAATTTGGAGTCGACAAAAAGTCAATGGAAAAGTTCCATTGTCTTGCTTCTTTCGTCGGAGGGCTCTCTTTGGGCTTTCCGAAAAGGTATCACATGCCAAGTTTGGCCTCACGGTATAGAAGTTATAGAGTCATAAAGTTTTAACCAAAAAAAAAAAAAAAAAAAGAGGGATGCAACACGAGGACTTCCCGGGAGGTCACCCATCCTAGTACTACTCTCGCCCAAGCACGCTTAACTGCGGAGTTCTGATGGGATCCGGTGCATTAGTGCTGGTATGATCGCATCCGTTAGTATATGCAATGCAATCGTATATATTCTTTTTTTAAGTCTTGATGAACCGTTCGCCGTGGGTCCCACCCGCCATGTAGGGATACCCCATCTAGTCATTAACGAGCTTTGATGCATGAAAAATATTCGAAAACAATGCTTGAAAAAGTAATTTTGGGTCCGTAATATAGCACAAATCACGAAAATGCCCGAAAAAGTACTTAAAGGTCAAAATTTGGAGTCGACAAAAAGTCAATGGAAAAGTTCCATTGTCTTGCTTCTTTCGTCGGAGGGCTCTCTTTGGGCTTTCCGAAAAGGTATCACATGCCAAGTTTGGCCTCACGGTATAGAAGTTATAGAGTCATAAAGTTTTAACCAAAAAAAAAAAAAAAAAAAAGAGGGATGCAACACGAGGACTTCCCGGGAGGTCACCCATCCTAGTACTACTCTCGCCCAAGCACGCTTAACTGCGGAGTTCTGATGGGATCCGGTGCATTAGTGCTGGTATGATCGCATCCGTTAGTATATGCAATGCAATCGTATATATTCTTTTTTAAGTCTTGATGAACCGTTCGCCGTGGGTCCCACCCGCCATGTAGGGATACCCCATCTAGTCTTAACGAGCTTTGATGCATGAAAAATATTCGAAAACAATGCTTGAAAAGAGTAATTTTGGGTCCGTAATATAGCACAAATCACGAAAATGCCCGAAAAAGTACTTAAAGGTCAAAATTTGGAGTCGACAAAAAGTCAATGGAAAAGTTCCATTGTCTTGCTTCTTTCGTCGGAGGGCTCTCTTTGGGCTTTCCGAAAAGGTATCACATGCCAAGTTTGGCCTCACGGTATAGAAGTTATAGAGTCATAAAGTTTTAACCAAAAAAAAAAAAAAAAAAAAGAGGGATGCAACACGAGGACTTCCCGGGAGGTCACCCATCCTAGTACTACTCTCGCCCAAGCACGCTTAACTGCGGAGTTCTGATGGGATCCGGTGCATTAGTGCTGGTATGATCGCATCCGTTAGTATATGCAATGCAATATAATATCGTATTCTTTTTGAAGTCTTGATGAACCGTTCGCCGTGGGTCCCACCCGCCTATGTAGGGATACCCCATCTAGTCTTAACGAGCTTTGATGCATGAAAAATATTCGAAAACAATGCTTGAAAAAGTAATTTTGGGTCCGTAATATAGCACAAATCACGAAAATGCCCGAAAAAGTACTTAAAGGTCAAAATTTGGAGTCGACAAAAAGTCAATGGAAAAGTTCCATTGTCTTGCTTCTTTCGTCGGAGGGCTCTCTTTGGGCTTTCCGAAAAGGTATCACATGCCAAGTTTGGCCTCACGGTATAGAAGTTATAGGAGTCATAAAGTTTTAACCAAAAAAAAAAGTAAACATAAAAGAGGGATGCAACACGAGGACTTCCCGGGAGGTCACCCATCCTAGTACTACTCTCGCCCAAGCACGCTTAACTGCGGAGTTCTGATGGGATCCGGTGCATTAGTGCTGGTATGATCGCATCCGTTAGTATATGCAATGCAATCGTATATATTCTTTTTTTAAGTCTTGATGAATCGTTCGCCGTGGGTCCCACCCGCCATGTAGGGATACCCCATCTAGTCATTAACGAGCTTTGATGCATGAAAAATATTCGAAAACAATGCTTGAAAAAGTAATTTTGGGTCCGTAATATAGCACAAATCACGAAAATGCCCGAAAAAGTACTTAAAGGTCAAAATTTGGAGTCGACAAAAAGTCAATGGAAAAGTTCCATTGTCTTGCTTCTTTCGTCGGAGGGCTCTCTTTGGGCTTTCCGAAAAGGTATCACATGCCAAGTTTGGCCTCACGGTATAGAAGTTATAGAGTCATAAAGTTTTAACCAAAAAAAAAAAAAAAAAAAGAGGGATGCAACACGAGGACTTCCCGGGAGGTCACCCATCCTAGTACTACTCTCGCCCAAGCACGCTTAACTGCGGAGTTCTGATGGGATCCGGTGCATTAGTGCTGGTATGATCGCATCCGTTAGTATATGCAATGCAATCGTATATATTCTTTTTTTAAGTCTTGATGAACCGTTCGCCGTGGGTCCCACCCGCCATGTAGGGATACCCCATCTAGTCTTAACGAGCTTTGATGCATGAAAAATATTCGAAAACAATGCTTGAAAAAGTAATTTTGGGTCCGTAATATAGCACAAATCACGAAAATGCCCGAAAAAGTACTTAAAGGTCAAAATTTGGAGTCGACAAAAAGTCAATGGAAAAGTTCCATTGTCTTGCTTCTTTCGTCGGAGGGCTCTCTTTGGGCTTTCCGAAAAGGTATCACATGCCAAGTTTGGCCTCACGGTATAGAAGTTATAGAGTCATAAAGTTTTAACCAAAAAAAAAAAAAAAAAAAAGAGGGATGCAACACGAGGACTTCCCGGGAGGTCACCCATCCTAGTACTACTCTCGCCCAAGCACGCTTAACTGCGGAGTTCTGATGGGATCCGGTGCATTAGTGCTGGTATGATCGCATCCGTTAGTATATGCAATGCAATCGTATATATTCTTTTTTAAGTCTTGATGAACCGTTCGCCGTGGGTCCCACCCGCCATGTAGGGATACCCCATCTAGTCTTAACGAGCTTTGATGCATGAAAAATATTCGAAAACAATGCTTGAAAAAGTAATTTTGGGTCCGTAATATAGCACAAATCACGAAAATGCCCGAAAAAGTACTTAAAGGTCAAAATTTGGAGTCGACAAAAAGTCAATGGAAAAGTTCCATTGTCTTGCTTCTTTCGTCGGAGGGCTCTCTTTGGGCTTTCCGAAAAGGTATCACATGCCAAGTTTGGCCTCACGGTATAGAAGTTATAGAGTCATAAAGTTTTAACCAAAAAAAAAAAAAAAAAAAAGAGGGATGCAACACGAGGACTTCCCGGGAGGTCACCCATCCTAGTACTACTCTCGCCCAAGCACGCTTAACTGCGGAGTTCTGATGGGATCCGGTGCATTAGTGCTGGTATGATCGCATCCGTTAGTATATGCAATGCAATCGTATATATTCTTTTTTTAAGTCTTGATGAACCGTTCGCCGTGGGTCCCACCCGCCATGTAGGGATACCCCATCTAGTCTTAACGAGCTTTGATGCATGAAAAATATTCGAAAACAATGCTTGAAAAAGTAATTTTGGGTCCGTAATATAGCACAAATCACGAAAATGCCCGAAAAAGTACTTAAAGGTCAAAATTTGGAGTCGACAAAAAGTCAATGGAAAAGTTCCATTGTCTTGCTTCTTTCGTCGGAGGGCTCTCTTTGGGCTTTCCGAAAAGGTATCACATGCCAAGTTTGGCCTCACGGTATAGAAGTTATAGAGTCATAAAGTTTTAACCAAAAAAAAAAAAAAAAAAAGAGGGATGCAACACGAGGACTTCCCGGGAGGTCACCCATCCTAGTACTACTCTCGCCCAAGCACGCTTAACTGCGGAGTTCTGATGGGATCCGGTGCATTAGTGCTGGTATGATCGCATCCGTTAGTATATGCAATGCAATCGTATATATTCTTTTTTTAAGTCTTGATGAACCGTTCGCCGTGGGTCCCACCCGCCATGTAGGGATACCCCATCTAGTCTTAACGAGCTTTGATGCATGAAAAATATTCGAAAACAATGCTTGAAAAAGTAATTTTGGGTCCGTAATATAGCACAAATCACGAAAATGCCCGAAAAAGTACTTAAAGGTCAAAATTTGGAGTCGACAAAAAGTCAATGGAAAAGTTCCATTGTCTTGCTTCTTTCGTCGGAGGGCTCTCTTTGGGCTTTCCGAAAAGGTATCACATGCCAAGTTTGGCCTCACGGTATAGAAGTTATAGAGTCATAAAGTTTTAACCAAAAAAAAAAAAAAAAAAAGAGGGATGCAACACGAGGACTTCCCGGGAGGTCACCCATCCTAGTACTACTCTCGCCCAAGCACGCTTAACTGCGGAGTTCTGATGGGATCCGGTGCATTAGTGCTGGGCTGGTATGATCGCATCCGTTAGTATATGCAATGCAATCGTATATATTCTTTTTTAAGTCTTGATGAACCGTTCGCCGTGGGTCCCACCCGCCATGTAGGGATACCCCATCTAGTCTTAACGAGCTTTGATGCATGAAAAATATTCGAAAACAATGCTTGAAAAAGTAATTTTGGGTCCGTAATATAGCACAAATCACGAAAATGCCCGAAAAAGTACTTAAAGGTCAAAATTTGGAGTCGACAAAAAGTCAATGGAAAAGTTCCATTGTCCTTGCTTCTTTCGTCGGAGGGCTCTCTTTGGGCTTTCCGAAAAGGTATCACATGCCAAGTTTGGCCTCACGGTATAGAAGTTATAGAGTCATAAAGTTTTAACCAAAAAAAAAAAAAAAAAAAGAGGGATGCAACACGAGGACTTCCCGGGAGGTCACCCATCCTAGTACTACTCTCGCCCAAGCACGCTTAACTGCGGAGTTCTGATGGGATCCGGTGCATTAGTGCTGGTATGATCGCATCCGTTAGTATATGCAATGCAATCGTATATATTCTTTTTTAAGTCTTGATGAACCGTTCGCCGTGGGTCCCACCCGCCATGTAGGGATACCCCATCTAGTCTTAACGAGCTTTGATGCATGAAAAATATTCGAAAACAATGCTTGAAAAAGTAATTTTGGGTCCGTAATATAGCACAAATCACGAAAATGCCCGAAAAAGTACTTAAAGGTCAAAATTTGGAGTCGACAAAAAGTCAATGGAAAAGTTCCATTGTCTTGCTTCTTTCGTCGGAGGGCTCTCTTTGGGCTTTCCGAAAAGGTATCACATGCCAAGTTTGGCCTCACGGTATAGAAGTTATAGAGTCATAAAGTTTTAACCAAAAAAAAAAAAAAAAAAAAGAGGGATGCAACACGAGGACTTCCCGGGAGGTCACCCATCCTAGTACTACTCTCGCCCAAGCACGCTTAACTGCGGAGTTCTGATGGGATCCGGTGCATTAGTGCTGGTATGATCGCATCCGTTAGTATATGCAATGCAATCGTATATATTCTTTTTTAAGTCTTGATGAACCGTTCGCCGTGGGTCCCACCCGCCATGTAGGGATACCCCATCTAGTCTTAACGAGCTTTGATGCATGAAAAATATTCGAAAACAATGCTTGAAAAAGTAATTTTGGGTCCGTAATATAGCACAAATCACGAAAATGCCCGAAAAAGTACTTAAAGGTCAAAATTTGGAGTCGACAAAAAGTCAATGGAAAAGTTCCATTGTCTTGCTTCTTTCGTCGGAGGGCTCTCTTTGGGCTTTCCGAAAAGGTATCACATGCCAAGTTTGGCCTCACGGTATAGAAGTTATAGAGTCATAAAGTTTTAACCAAAAAAAAAAAAAAAAAAAGAGGGATGCAACACGAGGACTTCCCGGGAGGTCACCCATCCTAGTACTACTCTCGCCCAAGCACGCTTAACTGCGGAGTTCTGATGGGATCCGGTGCATTAGTGCTGGTATGATCGCATCCGTTAGTATATGCAATGCAATCGTATATATTCTTTTTTAAGTCTTGATGAACCGTTCGCCGTGGGTCCCACCCGCCATGTAGGGATACCCCATCTAGTCTTAACGAGCTTTGATGCATGAAAAATATTCGAAAACAATGCTTGAAAAAGTAATTTTGGGTCCGTAATATAGCACAAATCACGAAAATGCCCGAAAAAGTACTTAAAGGTCAAAATTTGGAGTCGACAAAAAGTCAATGGAAAAGTTCCATTGTCTTGCTTCTTTCGTCGGAGGGCTCTCTTTGGGCTTTCCGAAAAGGTATCACATGCCAAGTTTGGCCTCACGGTATAGAAGTTATAGAGTCATAAAGTTTTAACCAAAAAAAAAAAAAAAAAAAAAGAGGGATGCAACACGAGGACTTCCCGGGAGGTCACCCATCCTAGTACTACTCTCGCCCAAGCACGCTTAACTGCGGAGTTCTGATGGGATCCGGTGCATTAGTGCTGGTATGATCGCATCCGTTAGTATATGCAATGCAATCGTATATATTCTTTTTTTAAGTCTTGATGAATCGTTCGCCGTGGGTCGCACCCGCCATGTAGGGATACCCATCTAGTCATAACGAGCTTTGATGCATGAAAAATATTCGAAAACAATGCTTGAAAAAGTAATTTTGGGTCCGTAATATAGCACAAATCACGGAAATGCCCGAAAAAGTACTTAAAGGTCAAAATTTGGAGTCGACAAAAAGTCAATGGAAAAGTTCCATTGTCTTGCTTCTTTCGTCGGAGGGCTCTCTTTGGGCTTTCCGAAAAGGTATCACATGCCAAGTTTGGCCTCACGGTATAGAAGTTATAGAGTCATAAAGTTTTAACCAAAAAAAAAAAAAAAAAAAGAGGGATGCAACACGAGGACTTCCCGGGAGGTCACCCATCCTAGTACTACTCTCGCCCAAGCACGCTTAACTGCGGAGTTCTGATGGGATCCGGTGCATTAGTGCTGGTATGATCGCATCCGTTAGTATATGCAATGCAATCGTATATATTCTTTTTTTAAGTCTTGATGAACCGTTCGCCGTGGGTCCCACCCGCCATGTAGGGATACCCCATCTAGTCTTAACGAGCTTTGATGCATGAAAAATATTCGAAAACAATGCTTGAAAAAGTAATTTTGGGTCCGTAATATAGCACAAATCACGAAAATGCCCGAAAAAGTACTTAAAGGTCAAAATTTGGAGTCGACAAAAAGTCAATGGAAAAGTTCCATTGTCTTGCTTCTTTCGTCGGAGGGCTCTCTTTGGGCTTTCCGAAAAGGTATCACATGCCAAGTTTGGCCTCACGGTATAGAAGTTATAGAGTCATAAAGTTTTAACCAAAAAAAAAAAGGTAAACATAAAGAGGGATGCAACACGAGGACTTCCCGGGAGGTCACCCATCCTAGTACTACTCTCGCCCAAGCACGCTTAACTGCGGAGTTCTGATGGGATCCGGTGCATTAGTGCTGGTATGATCGCATCCGTTAGTATATGCAATGCAATCGTATATATTCTTTTTTGAAGATCTTGATGAACCAGTTCGCCGTGGGTCCCACCCGCCTATGTAGGGATACCCCATCTAGTCTTAACGAGCTTTGATGCATGAAAAATATTCGAAAACAATGCTTGAACAAGTAATTTTGGGTCCGTAATATAGCACAAATCACGAAAATGCCCGAAAAAGTACTTAAAGGTCAAAATTTGGAGTCGACAAAAAGTCAATGGAAAAGTTCCATTGTCTTGCTTCTTTCGTCGGAGGGCTCTCTTTGGGCTTTCCGAAAAGGTATCACATGCCAAGTTTGGCCTCACGGTATAGAAGTTATAGAGTCATAAAGTTTTAACCAAAAAAAAAAAGTAAACATAAGAGGGATGCAACACGAGGACTTCCCGGGAGGTCACCCATCCTAGTACTACTCTCGCCCAAGCACGCTTAACTGCGGAGTTCTGATGGGATCCGGTGCATTAGTGCTGGTATGATCGCATCCGTTAGTATATGCAATGCAATCGTATATATTCTTTTTTTAAGTCTTGATGAACCGTTCGCCGTGGGTCCCACCCGCCATGTAGGGATACCCCATCTAGTCTTAACGAGCTTTGATGCATGAAAAATATTCGAAAACAATGCTTGAAAAAGTAATTTTGGGTCCGTAATATAGCACAAATCACGAAAATGCCCGAAAAAGTACTTAAAGGTCAAAATTTGGAGTCGACAAAAAGTCAATGGAAAAGTTCCATTGTCTTGCTTCTTTCGTCGGAGGGCTCTCTTTGGGCTTTCCGAAAAGGTATCACATGCCAAGTTTGGCCTCACGGTATAGAAGTTATAGAGTCATAAAGTTTTAACCAAAAAAAAAAAAAAAAAAAGAGGGATGCAACACGAGGACTTCCCGGGAGGTCACCCATCCTAGTACTACTCTCGCCCAAGCACGCTTAACTGCGGAGTTCTGATGGGATCCGGTGCATTAGTGCTGGTATGATCGCATCCGTTAGTATATGCAATGCAATCGTATATATTCTTTTTTTAAGTCTTGATGAACCGTTCGCCGTGGGTCCCACCCGCCATGTAGGGATACCCCATCTAGTCTTAACGAGCTTTGATGCATGAAAAATATTCGAAAACAATGCTTGAAAAAGTAATTTTGGGTCCGTAATATAGCACAAATCACGAAAATGCCCGAAAAAGTACTTAAAGGTCAAAATTTGGAGTCGACAAAAAGTCAATGGAAAAGTTCCATTGTCTTGCTTCTTTCGTCGGAGGGCTCTCTTTGGGCTTTCCGAAAAGGTATCACATGCCAAGTTTGGCCTCACGGTATAGAAGTTATAGAGTCATAAAGTTTTAACCAAAAAAAAAAAAAAAAAAAAGAGGGATGCAACACGAGGACTTCCCGGGAGGTCACCCATCCTAGTACTACTCTCGCCCAAGCACGCTTAACTGCGGAGTTCTGATGGGATCCGGTGCATTAGTGCTGGTATGATCGCATCCGTTAGTATATGCAATGCAATCGTATATATTCTTTTTTAAGTCTTGATGAACCGTTCGCCGTGGGTCCCACCCGCCATGTAGGGATACCCCATCTAGTCTTAACGAGCTTTGATGCATGAAAAATATTCGAAAACAATGCTTGAAAAAGTAATTTTGGGTCCGTAATATAGCACAAATCACGAAAATGCCCGAAAAAGTACTTAAAGGTCAAAATTTGGAGTCGACAAAAAGTCAATGGAAAAGTTCCATTGTCTTGCTTCTTTCGTCGGAGGGCTCTCTTTGGGCTTTCCGAAAAGGTATCACATGCCAAGTTTGGCCTCACGGTATAGAAGTTATAGAGTCATAAAGTTTTAACCAAAAAAAAAAAAAAAAAAAAGAGGGATGCAACACGAGGACTTCCCGGGAGGTCACCCATCCTAGTACTACTCTCGCCCAAGCACGCTTAACTGCGGAGTTCTGATGGGATCCGGTGCATTAGTGCTGGTATGATCGCATCCGTTAGTATATGCAATGCAATC